GTTTGTAACTATTACAGTATTCTCACGTAGATGATTTAATTCCTATATAATGAGAATTACAAATTAATTTACACAAAGGAATAATAGTATCAAAGCACAAAAATATTTGAAATTATCAGGAAAAAAACTCACATCATGCAAAGCTTTTCTTAAAGAATCGTTCGTAGTTACCAGTATTACTTGAGCTTCTAGATCACGCTCGGTTGATCGGTACCCATAATTTGACGAACCAATTATCGTTAGGCTTGGCCACTTTTGCCTATTCATATAACACCATAACCCTATAATGTGAGTGTTATAAGTTTTAGATGATGTAATTCGCATATACATTTCAGACAATCTTGATTAAACTACCTTTCGCATGAAAGGTCCAATTTGATCGCTTATACTCTTCTATTTTTATCAAATGACTTTTTCCATAACGAATTATATCATTGAAAAATTGATATTCTAGAAATGTATATGCCATCGGAATGTACTTGGAAATTCCTTTTGAATGATAAAATCCATTTGCCTAAAATAAAATTAGATCATCTCAGATTATCCAACTAAAAGATAGGAATATAATTGATTATTTAAAACATGATAAAACCTCTGGCGATGCAGCTAGTAATCGAAATTTTGCACTTGAATTTAGAATTCTTTCCTTGTATTTCTGGGTAAAATTGAAATACCCCGATGTAAAAAACACTTGCCAATACTCATCTTCATTATGATAATAATTATTATATTTCGTGATTGTATCTAAGATATAAAGAGTGGCATTTTCATCTTGTCTTATACTAAAAGGTGCCATCTGTATAACGGGAAAGATTATTGTGTCAAATTGCTCCAATTGATTTAGTTGTATATCTTGTTTTTTCATCCATTTTTCAATAAAGCATTTCATAACTAAAGATGCCTGTTTCTTAAATAGTCTGCTTTGAGATGATGGATCTGGAATATCTGATAAAACTAACTTAAAAGAATTTTTATCAGGCTTCAATGTAAATGAAAAAGTTGCTATAGTCTTTATAAGGTCTTCAAAATAATTGTTAAGGTTTGTTACATTTGTGAACAGCATGTAACGATCTTGTCTATTGTTGAAATAATCATGGCTTAAATTGGCCCTAAGTTTATTATTAAATAAACAAATTAATAAAAACGAATGCAAAGGAATAAAAAGTAATATCTAGTTACCCGCTTAAAATGAGATTGTCATCGAATCCATATGCCTTGATATGCATCAATCCTATTCCTTCATTGAACCTTGAGGGAA